CCCAGCTAATTTTTTGTAGCTTTAGTAGAGACGGGGTTTCACCATGTTGACCAGGATGGTCTTGATCTCTTGACCTTGTGATCCGCCCGCCTCGGCCTCCCAAAGTGCTGGGATTACAGGCTTGAGCCACCGCGCCCGGCCCTAGTTTTCTCTATGTTAAAAGTATGTTCCAGATTTTTGAAAAAATTATTTAATTTTCATTCATTTATTCAACAAATATTTGAGTTCTGTAGTTGCTGGGGAAGTACCAGTGGACTGAAAAATATCTTTGTTCTTATGGGGCCTAAGACCCTAGCTGATCATAGTGGAAGGAGATGTATGAAAAAAGCAATATATGACCAGTGGAGGGTGATGAGTACCATAAAGGAGAATTCAGCAGGGGAGATGTTCCTGTTTTAGATAGAGGGGTGTCAAGGGACATTGTGCAGAGAGGGAGCAAGCCATGCGGCTATCTAGGGGAAGAGGCTATCAGGTGGTGAGAAGAGTCCTAGGGCAGATACGGGCAAGGTGTGTTCCAGGAGCAGGGAAGGGACAGCTGTGAGCAAGGGGAGAACTGTAGGGGAGGAGGCAGAGAGAGGCATCTGGGGCAAGATGGACTGCCTGGTGGGCCGTCGTAGGACTTTGGATTTTTTCCTGAGCGGGTTTTGAGCAGGGAAATGAAATGATCTGACTCTGTGGGTTTTTTTTTTTTTTTTTTTTTTTTTTTGAGACAAAAATCTCGCTCTGTTGCCAAGACTGGAATGCAGTGGTGCAACCTCAGCTCACTGCAACCTTACCTCCTAGGTTCAAACTATTCTCCTGCCTCAGCCTCCCAAGTAGCTGGGATTATAGGCTCGGGTAACCACGCAGGGTAATTTTTTTTTTCTTATTTATTTATTTAATGTCTTTTGAGATGGAGTCTTCCTCTGTTACCCAGGCTGGAGGGCAGTGGCGTGATCTCAGCTCACATCAATCTCCACCTCCAGGGTTCAAGCCATTCTTCTGCCTTAGCCTCCGAGTAGCTGGGATTACTTGTTGCCTGTCACCACACCCGACTAAGTTTTATATTTTTAGTAGAGACAGGGTTTTACCATGTTGGCCAGGCTGGCCTTGAACCCCTGACCTCAAGTAATCCGCCTGTCTCAGCCTCCCAAAATGCTGGGAGTACAGGTTTGAGCCACTGTGCCAGCCATGACTCTTATTTTGAAAGGACCTGTAATGTGGAGAATAGAAGGTAGAGGGACAGGGATGAAAGCATCCAGGCCAGTTAGTCTAGTCGAGCTGTCTAGGTAAGAGATGCTGGTGGCCTGGATTAAGGGTGTGTCAGTGGGAGGTTGTGAGAAGTGCTCACCTTTTTTTTTTTGAGACCGGGTCTCTGTCACCCAGGCTGGAATGCAGTGGTGCAGTCTTGGCTCACTGCAACCTCTGCCTCCTGGGCTCAATCGATTCCCCCCATCTCAGCCTCCCAAGTAGCTGGGATCACAGATGCGCATCACCACACCTGGTTAATTTTTGTGTGTTTTGTAGAGACAGGGTTTTGCCATGTTGCCTAGGCCAGTCTAAAATTCCTGAGTTCAAGTGATCTACCTGCCTCAGCCTCCTAAAGTGCTGGGATTATAGGCCTGAGCCACCATGCCCAGTCACCTCCTGGATATATTTTGAAGATAGAGCCAACAGGATTTGTTAATGGATTGGCTGTGGCAGGAGGAAGGGAAAGAGGAGGGGGAGGAAAAGTGAGAGAGAGACTGGAGTTGAAGTTAAGGCTCATTTCAAGGTTTTGACCTAAGCATGTACAGGAATGGAGTTGTCACTTGCTTAAATGGGATAGTTTGGAGGAGAAGCTGGCTGGGAGAAGTTTTTAATGAAGGAGTTGGCTTTGGGTACATTAGTTTGACATGCATTTTATACATCCAGGTGGAGATATTGAAGAGGCAGTTGGCTAAAGGTGTCTGATGTTCATATTAGCAGATGGGGCTAGAGAAGTAAATTTGAGAATTGTCAGCATACAGACGTTGCTTTGAAAGAAAATGGGTCTGAATAAATAATTTAGAAAGTGAGTGCATAGAGAAAAGAAGTTTACAATTAAAATAGCTTTAACATGCCTGGTGCAGTGGCTCATGTCTGTAATCCCAGCACTTTGGGAGGCTGAAGTGGGCAGATTACAAGGTCAGGAGTTCGAGACCAGCCTGGCCAATATGGTGAAACCCTGTCTGTACTAAAAATACAAACATTAGCTGGGCGTGGTGGCAGGCACCTGTAGTCCCAACTACTTGGGAGGCTGAGACAGGAGAATCACTTGAACCCGGGAGGCACAGGTTGCAGTGAGCGGAGATCGCGCCACTGCACTCCAGCCTAGGCGACAGCGCGAGACTCCATCTCAAAAAAAAAGCCTTTAATAGCAAAGCCTTTTCCTTTAAAATTATGAAATTTGTTCTTATAGAAGTTGGACTCTATAAAGTCTACATTCAGTCACTACATTAGTAAAAATGTTGTTCTAGTCACCGAATGCAATAAACCAACCACCTTGGACTTAGTGGCCTAAAGCAGCAATCATTTGACTGTTCAAAGGTGCTGTGGGCAGGAATTTAGATACATACAGCAGGGATGGCTTGACTTTGCTCTGTAATGTCTGAGGCCTCAGCTGAGAAGACTCAAGCAGCTGGGGGCAATAATCCTCTGGAATTTTCTTCACTCCTATATCTGATGTCTGGGCTGTGATGACTAAAAGGCTGATTTCAACTGAGATTGTAGACCACATGCCTACTTGTGGCCTCCCCTTCTGCCTTGAGTTTCTCAGAGAATGGTGGCTGATTTTGGAGAACGAGCCTTCCAGTGAAATCAGGTGGATGTGACGTATCGCCACTTTCAGCATACTCTATTGGTTCAGGCAGTTATGGACTTAGCTAGATTCAAGGGAAGGGGACAAAGACCCCCCTCCTCTCAAAGAGAGGAGCATAATATGAAAGAATTTAGGGCCATGTTATTCAACCACCACAAATACCTTCTGAATTTGAGGTTCTGCCTCAAAAGCCAACAGTTTCTTTGGCTGAAGGACTTCTGTATATCCAAGCATTGCCAGCCCCAGGTATATTGTTCCGTATAAGTGACCGGGACTACTTTAGTATCTCATATAGGGAAAGTGACCTTAATAAATTTGAGAAAAGATTCTTCCCTTTCTCCAGTAAGCACAAAGCTATATTATAGGTTTATGAATTTGAGACTCAGAAATTTAAATTCTTGGCTGAATGCAGTGGCTCACGCCTGTAATCCTAGCACTTTGGGAGGCAAAGGTGGACAGATCACTTGAGGTCAGAAGTTTGAGACCAGCCTGGCCAATATGGTGAAACCCCGTCTGTACTAAAAATACAAACATTAGCCGGGTGTGGTGGCGGGCACCTGTAATTCCAGCTATTTGGGAGGCTGAGGCAGGAGAATCACTTAAACCCAGGAGGCAGATGTTGCAGTGAGCTGAGATTGCGCCACTGCACTCCAGCCTGGGCAAAAGGGCAAGACTCTGTCTCAAAACAAAAAAATTTAAGTTCTCTTTCTCTGCTTTATTTCAGTTGCCTGTCTTAGATGAATATCAGTGACTTATGTAGCATTTTAGATCAGTGGATGTTTTTGTGATTCTTTTATTTGGGCTTTGGCCAAGCAGTACCCACAGGTTTTTTTCCAGTAACTTGTCCTTCTCCCTTCAGTGGCCCTTGAGCCTGGAAAATCTGGCATGACAGTGTGCTTGCTTAGCCTGCCAGTTTCTGTTTTGAAAAGCATGGCAGCCTGTTTCTGACACCTATGCGGGTGAGTTCCTCCACATTCACAGTTTATTAGAAAAATACTTTGCTGTTCTCCAAACTCTAAATTCAAGATGACCAAACCTCTAGGCTAGAGCTGATCTTATTTTTCAGTGTGCAGTTGTCATGTTGATGCCAGGCTTTTCAGTATCGTGGTCATCATCTGTTCAGTAGAGACTTTTGCAATGGGAGGCAGTGTTTATGTGTGTGTGCAAGTGTTTAGTTGGTATCTTAAATTGCACAGCCAGCGGGAAGTTCTAAATCAGGATGGTACATGGTTGCCAGCGGAGAGCTGCAACTCAGGTGGAAGAGATAGAATCAAAGCCAACGGGAAGGAGCCTCAGATGCGTATGTACGTGCCAGGGGTATTCAGAGTTAAAGCAGTAATTGGACTAGGGTTGGGGTTAGGGAGAGCCTCTCTAACAGACACAGGGAAGGGATAGATAATGCCACCCAGAGGAAAAAGCATTTTAGGCAAGAACAAATGTGAAAAATGAACAAAGTCTGTGGGTGGGGGGGAAGGGGGAGATAAGTTGACTTGAAGGAAGACAACACTTACGAAAGTCACCTGGAGGCTGGGTGCCAAGGCTCGTGCCTATAATCCCAGCACTTTGGGAGGCTGAGGTACAAGGATAGCTTGAACCCAGGAGTTTTAGACTATCCTGGGCAACATAGTGAGACTGAGTCTCTACCAAAAAAAAAAAAAAAAAAAAATCCAGACATGTTGGCATGTGCCTGTAGTCCCAGTTACTCAGGAGGCTGAGGTGGGAGGATTGCTTGAGCCCAGGAGGTTGAGGCTGCAGTGAGCTGTTATTGTACTATTGCACTCCAGCCTGGGCAACAGAGCAAGACTCTGTCTCAATAAAACAAAGTCATCTGTAGGCTGGAGAAGGGAACTGGAGGGGGCTAAATTTGGCTGTGTAGTTAGAGAGCCTGAGACAAGGGTAAAGATTTTAAATTGGACAGTGAGCTGTTAGTGTGTGTTTTTGAGCTGAGGAGTGCTATGATTTTACTCTTATTGAAAAGTCACTGAAGGATCATTCTTGCATCAGTGATTCTTGAACATTCTTGAATTTTTCAAATAGCAAAACTGAAAGAGTTGGCCTCTGCCTCAGAATATTTTCTAACTGGGCTCTGTGTCCTCACTTGAGAGAATCTGGTTACAGTTTAGTTGTAAATTCAGTCCAGTGGTTCATTCGTTTAGTACCTTTCAGTCCAGCCCCATGAAGACAAGAAGAGTCTGAGTCCAAGTTATGGAATCACAGTACTTGGGTGCAGGTCATAGTGATAAAGATAGAGGGAAGGCGTGTGTGAGGGCCAGTGGCAGACAGGAGCTTGGTGTTTTCAGGACCTGAAGAAGGGGCAGAGTGTGTGCCAGGAACTTAGCCAAGCAGCTGGTGCCAGCCATATGAGAGGGTCACAGTGAGCCAGGCCATTGGTCATGCTAGCAATGCATACAAACACTTAACATGCTGCACGCTGGTGGGCTCCTAAGTGCTATATGTACATTAGCTCAATGAATTTGTACAGCGACCCTGTGAAGTAAGCCCTGTTTTCTCCCCTTTTTAAGATGAAATTAAGGCACGAAGAGGATAAGTAACTGGCACTTGCTGCACACTAAGTGATCTAAGTGGTGGAACCAGCATTCAAATCCATGCTATTTTGCCTTAAGATAACAAATCTTGTTTTTTAGCATAAGAACAGAGCAGTCATCAGGGGGGTTTTAAGTAGGGGAGTGGTAAGATCAAGTTTATGTCTTGAAAAGATCTGTACCCACAGTGTGGAAAATGGCCTGAAGGCAAGCACACAGATGTTAGAGACAGTTAACAGCTCTTGCCATGGCCTCCTATGCATTTTGGCTCTGATGTTTCTGCCTGATTTTTCTCTTGCCTCTGCCACTTTTCCT